ATAAATATATAAAATATATGAAAAATTGATGTGGGTACTCAAATGAAAGGTCTCGATGAGTGTAGTGTCGGAGTGAGCTTATATCTTTAAAAATCTCAATAGTTCACATAATATAAGGTCATTTCTTAATTATGTATTTAGAGATAGAGTACTAAATTTTACTAAAAAAAAAAACCGATTTTATCATATGACTATCCTGGACACAAAATTTTTCTCTTAATAATATAGATTAATAATAATTGATAAATTAAAATTGAGGTAATTTTTTATAACTTGCAGGTAAAAGACAGAAGATTTTCCCTGAACCCAAGTCTGGCGAAAATTATAAAAACTCAACCGTCGGAGGAGAAAACTACCCCAGTGCTAATGAGACAGTCAACTTTCGAGTTCAAGGATGCAATTGGAGAGCCAAGGAAGTCGCCACCGAAGATTTCGAGCTCACCGGTTACTGTTTGTTCTTCTTTGGGCCAGGTTTCTTTGCCAAGCGACGAAGAAGGTGCTGACAATTTCAAGATCAGTACTCTGCTTGGTAAAGCTAGTTTCTACTTGCAAAAGGCCCAAAAGTTGTACTCTGTCAAGTATATCAATGATGAGTGCTCGTCGATTGATTTCAGCAATTCGGCGGGAGGTTTGTGTTTTTGGTTTTTGATTGAAAATTGGAATTATCTTAATTTTTTAATCGCGGAGAATTGTGCTGTTCGGCTAAGTTATAAAAGTCAGAATATATGATACATTTGTTCCTTAGAATTTCTATTTTAGAAATTTGTTTTTTTTTAAGTTTTCTCGATAATTTGATCTTTGAAACTTAAAATTACTTCTTGTAAATTTTTTTATTTAATACTTTTTTAATTTTTTCTTTAAAAATTTTTTTCTTCAAATTTCTCTTTTAAAAATTATTTACTTAAAATTTTTGTTTAATTTTTTACTTAAAATTTTTTACTTCAAAGTATATTTTTTTAAATTTCTCTTTCAAAAGTTTTTTAATTAATACTTTTTTTTTAAATTTTCTTTCTATCTATATTTCCTTCTATCAAGAACTAAATTTTTTGGAGCAAGAGGCTGAATTTTTTCAAAACAACAAAATTTTCTTGACTTAAATAAATTTTCTTGAATCAAGATACGTATTTTTTAAAGCAAAAGAATTAATATTGTTGGAATAAGTGAAATTTCTTGTGTCAAAAAAATTTTTTTTCGCTTAAGAAAATAATTAGGAAGAAAAATATTTCTTGGCTCAAGTAAACTTTTTTTTCTGTGCATTTTAATTCATTTTTTTTTTAACATACCACTCTCCCAATTTAAAAACTAATAAATAATTTTTTTTCAGACGATGTATTTTTGAAGGCACGCAATTTGTCACGAAGCTCATCAATATCAAGTAGACGCTCAAGCCCAGTAACAGTTCGCAAGAAGAACCAATCCGATAGCAAGAGTCCTTCTGTTGCAAAAACTTTGATGAAGCCGCAATTCCGTCGCAGCCTTAGCACTTGTTCAACAGCTTCACAGCAGAGTTCAAAATATTCTTCCTTACGAAAGCCAACATCGGTATCGTCCGTCTTGACGGGAGTATCTCCAAGAACGTTGAATACCATAAAACACCTCACAACTCCGAAGCTACCTCCAAGAGCAGTCAGCACAGGAACACCCTCGTCGACCCAGAAGCTAGCTCTGGAGTTCGCTAAAAGGAAGACGTTACTGGAAACTTCTACTTCTAGTAAGTTGGCCGCTCCAGGAACTAGAACTCTGCTCAGGCCACCGACAACTTCTGGAGCTAGAATAGCTGTTCCTGTAAAAAGTAAAATATCTCGTCCTGCTAATCTATCAGCTTCTGCTTCAACTTCTACTGAGGCTAATGAAGAGAAGAAAACACATCTTCCTTCTTATTCTCAAGGTCTGAGGAAAAAAAACTCGATGAGTATTATTGAAAGGGATTTAATAAATAGTAACCCTACTTCCGTCAAAGATGATGGCAAAAAGAGTTTTGGTTACTCAACAACTTTTGGGTTGAAGAAATAATAAGTTTTTTGCTATTTCTTTCTAGTTATAATTAATTAATTAATTGCTTATTAATAAAAAATTAATGAGTTTTTTTTATAAGAATTGTAGAATAAATTAAGTAATTTTTTAAGAAGATATTTATTAAGTCAAATATTTCAGGGTTTTATTAATAATATTTATATTTTTATCTTTACATAATTTTTTATAGAATTTTAATTAATCAATTTTGTAGATAGAAGAATGAAATTATTGGAAAGAAGAAAAGTATTGTAAAATTATGAACATGCTTTTTGCATTTTTCTTTTTTTATAAATTGCAGATAGTATTAATCTTCCGCTTAATGTAATTATGTACGATTGCTGTAGTTAATAGTTTGTAAGTTATATTTAAAAAAATTTTGTATTTTCTTGATTGATAATTTAAATAAATTTACTTGTATTATTAATCAGCAGTTGTGTGTGAATTAATATTACTTATATTTTTAATTTTATCATGCTTGAAAATTTTTTTATTTTGTTTCTTAGGTTTTTTTTTATCTTCGATTAAATTTCTTAAATTATTATGAAATATGATTTTTTATCAAATTAATTTATGATTGTTAATTAAATTTGATAAATTTTTATAAAAAAAAATTTTTTATTTTTAAAAAAATTTTTATTATTACTCTAAAGAATTTTTTTAAATTTCATAAAAATTAAATGTAATGAAAAATATTAATTTCATAATTTTTCAAGATAAAAATCAAACATTTAAAAAAAAATTTTATTTTTATAAAAATTAAATTTCTATAAAAAAATTTTTAATAAAAAAATCTACATGTAAAAATTGAAAATTGTACAAGTGTCAGCTTTTCAAAAATAATTGTTTTTTATTTAGTACTGATGTTAGCTGACAGCTGTCAATTTTTTAAATTATTATAACAAATAAATTAAAAAAAAAAAAATTCATTTGTAAAAAACTTAAAAAACTGTAAGTGTAATTTTTAAAAAATATTTTTTTGTTCTAATTTAATTATTGAAAATAATAATAAAATTAAAAACGTCGGCTAACTTTAGAATTATTAATAAAATATAACACTCAAATTAGTCGACATTTTTAATTTTTTCATTCATTAAACTATATAGAACTAAAAAATGTTTATAAAAATTGCACTTGTAGTTTTTAAAATTTTTTACAAATGAAAATTTTTCAATAAAAATTTTTAGATGACAGCTAACTTAATTTTTATTAATAAAAAAACAAAAAATTTCACTAATAATTTTTTTTAATTATTCACGTCAAATTTTTTAATTAAATTTTTTTTATAAAATTATAAAAAAATTTCTAATGTCTATCAACAATGTCATGTTTTTAATAATTGATTTTTTATAAAAAAAATATAAAAGTCAGATAGCTGATTTCAATTAAAATTAATTTAGCAGATATTTGATAATTTTAATAATGTTTTTAACAAAGAAAATTATGAAAAAAAAAATTAAGAAAAAAAATTGACATATATACATTTCTATAGAAATTTTAAAAAATAAAAAATGTAATTTTTTAAAAATAATTTTTAGAAACAAATTTTTTTGTTAAATAAAAATAAAAATTAAGTTAGCCGACACAAAAATTTTTGATTTTTTTTTAATAATTAAAAATAATAACTAAAAAACTATTTTTTAAAAACTCCACGTATAATTTTAAAAATTTTGTTTTAATTTTTGAAAAATTATTTTTCAATAAAATAAATTATAAAAATTTTCAAATGTCGGCTAATTTAATTTTCACAAATAAAATTAAAAAATTGTCATGCTAACTTTAATGTCAGCTGATTTCAGTATTAAAATTCCATTGGATAATTCAAAAAAATTTTCCCGCTTTTAGTAAGCGCCATTTTGTAAATGCTAGTTTCCAAGCGGGCAGCACGCAAGCGGCATCTCTATGAAAATAGTAAACGAAATTTTTTTCCGGTGAGTCGTTGATCTTTCGCTCACAATAAATGTGGTTATTTTTTCAGTCCAGTCCAAGTGATAATTTCAATAAATTATAATAAAACAATTAAAAAGTGATAATCAACAATAACCACCAGGTAATATCTAATTATATCTAAATTACTTAAATAATAACCCAGTCAAATAATTTTTTTAATTCACTCACCTATCATTATTGGTTTAAATTCACCATTATTATTATTACAACCATCACGGCATTTAATGTAATTAAATCCAATTGTTTCTTTGAATGATCACAGTGAATTAAAAACTACGACTACTCGCTATCAATTTAGATTAATCAGTCAAACAAACAATTTGTTCTACTAAATACATAGTTATTAATCCAGTTAATCATTACGAGGCCATTTTGAAATTATGGCGTCTCATTTTTTTTTTTTTTCGATTTATTGTTTATCGTTAATTATTATATTAGTAACAAGTGACTGCTATTGAGATTTTTACTTTAATTAAAATTATTATACTGGAATCAGCAGACATCTGAAAATTTTTTTGTTTCATTTAAAAAATAAGTAAGTACTTGCAAAATATTTTCAAAAAATTGTTTTCATAATTTTTTTTTTTACAATAATTTATTTTTAAAAAATATAAAAATTGATTTAACAGATATTTAATCATTTTAAGAAGGTTAATAAATTCCAGCAAAAAAAATGAGAAAAAAAAATTTTCATATTAAAAAGACAATTTTTTAAAAATACTTTTTTAAAACAAATTTGTTTGTTAAATAAAACTATAAAATAGTCGGGACAGCTTACTTGAATATAATTAATAATTATCTAATGTCTGTTGGTTTCAATATATGATAAAAATATTATGTCTAATTTAATTTATATATTTTTAAATTAATTTATTAATTTTTATATAAATAAAAAATTTATTTCAAAATTATTTTTTTAATCTTAATTTGACTTTTATAAAGTTTATTTTATAAAAAAAATTATTTTGAATACTTGAAGAATAATTTTTTAACTAGAAAAAAAAAAAATTTTTTGAATTTTATACAATAATTAATTTTCAAAAAATTAATTAAAATTTTTAAAAACTTTAAATTTTTAGACATTAAAAAAGTTTAGATTTAAAAAAAAATTTATGGAACATTTTTAAAAATTTAGAAGGATTTAGCTATTAGAATAAATTTTATTATTATTATTGATAAAATTAAGTTAGCCGACACAAAAATTTTTGATTTTTTTTTAATAATTAAAAATAATAACTAAAAAACTATTTTTTAAAAACTCCACGTATAATTTTAAAAATTTTGTTTTAATTTTTGAAAAATTATTTTTCAATAAAATAAATTATAAAAATTTTCAAATGTCGGCTAATTTAATTTTCACAAATAAAATTAAAAAATTGTCATGCTAACTTTAATGTCAGCTGATTTCAGTATTAAAATTCCATTGGATAATTCAAAAAAATTTTCCCGCTTTTAGTAAGCGCCATTTTGTAAATGCTAGTTTCCAAGCGGGCAGCACGCAAGCGGCATCTCTATGAAAATAGTAAACGAAATTTTTTTCCGGTGAGTCGTTGATCTTTCGCTCACAATAAATGTGGTTATTTTTTCAGTCCAGTCCAAGTGATAATTTCAATAAATTATAATAAAACAATTAAAAAGTGATAATCAACAATAACCACCAGGTAATATCTAATTATATCTAAATTACTTAAATAATAACCCAGTCAAATAATTTTTTTAATTCACTCACCTATCATTATTGGTTTAAATTCACCATTATTATTATTACAACCATCACGGCATTTAATGTAATTAAATCCAATTGTTTCTTTGAATGATCACAGTGAATTAAAAACTACGACTACTCGCTATCAATTTAGATTAATCAGTCAAACAAACAATTTGTTCTACTAAATACATAGTTATTAATCCAGTTAATCATTACGAGGCCATTTTGAAATTATGGCGTCTCATTTTTTTTTTTTTCGATTTATTGTTTATCGTTAATTATTATATTAGTAACAAGTGACTGCTATTGAGATTTTTACTTTAATTAAAATTATTATACTGGAATCAGCAGACATCTGAAAATTTTTTTGTTTCATTTAAAAAATAAGTAAGTACTTGCAAAATATTTTCAAAAAATTGTTTTCATAATTTTTTTTTTTACAATAATTTATTTTTAAAAAATATAAAAATTGATTTAACAGATATTTAATCATTTTAAGAAGGTTAATAAATTCCAGCAAAAAAAATGAGAAAAAAAAATTTTCATATTAAAAAGACAATTTTTTAAAAATACTTTTTTAAAACAAATTTGTTTGTTAAATAAAACTATAAAATAGTCGGGACAGCTTACTTGAATATAATTAATAATTATCTAATGTCTGTTGGTTTCAATATATGATAAAAATATTATGTCTAATTTAATTTATATATTTTTAAATTAATTTATTAATTTTTATATAAATAAAAAATTTATTTCAAAATTATTTTTTTAATCTTAATTTGACTTTTATAAAGTTTATTTTATAAAAAAAATTATTTTGAATACTTGAAGAATAATTTTTTAACTAGAAAAAAAAAAAATTTTTTGAATTTTATACAATAATTAATTTTCAAAAAATTAATTAAAATTTTTAAAAACTTTAAATTTTTAGACATTAAAAAAGTTTAGATTTAAAAAAAAATTTATGGAACATTTTTAAAAATTTAGAAGGATTTAGCTATTAGAATAAATTTTATTATTATTATTGATAACAATATTAATATTAAATTTTAAAAATAAAAATATTTTTTTTTAATAAATAAATTTTTATAATTAATATATGAATTTTTTTTTTTTCAGGTCAATGATAGAAAATTAAAATAAAAAGGCTGAGTAAAAAAAGCCTTAGCGGATTAATCACCAATTGCTTGAACTAGACGACAATTGGATAATTAAAAAAAAACAATGGCTGAAGAGAGCACGGGGGACAGTAAGCAGGGTCAATTGTCACCGCGAAGTCCTTCTGGAGCTGGAGTTGCCGGTGGAGTGGTCAATAAGCCGACTAGTCCTAGGTCACCAGCAGCTAAACCGACGAGAAGGGTCAGGTTGACCGACCAGCAGCTGGAGGCTGCCAGCAAGGAAGAACTCGCTGGGAAATGGCGCGAGCAGGAGTCCTATATTGAGATTCTGGAGGCTCAGGCTTCTGCTCAGGACGGTACTGATTATTTATTTTACTTAAACTGGTAATATTTAAGGTACTATAACTTAATATGTTCTATTTTTTTAGCTGAACTGACGAGCTTGAAAGAGTCTGAGGAAAAATTTCGCCAGCAGTTTACAGAAGCGTCTTATCGTGAAAAAATTTTAGTAAGAAGACTTGCGTCCAAGGAACAAGAGTTGCAAGATTATGTTGTAAGACTTGATTTATTTAAAAACTTTAATTTTTTTTTTTTTATTTTATTTATTAAAAATAATTATATTAATAATTAAAATATATTTTACCTAGAGTCAAATAACAGAATTAAAAGCTGCTCAAACACCATCAGTATCTTCACTACGGTCAGCGTTATTAGACCCAGCGGTTAACATTTTAATACAAAAACTTCGCCAAGAGTTGTTAACGACTAAAGCTAAGTTGGAAGACACGCAGAATGAATTAAGTGCATGGAAATTTACTCCTGATAGGTAATAATTATTATTTTTTATCTATAAATATTTTTTTTTTTTTGATTTAATTAATGATCTTAAAATTTTCTCTTATAATTTTTTCATGAATATATTTTTTTTAAAAGTTATTGAAAGTTTAAGTTGGATTTATCCTCAAAATATAAAAAAGAATATATAAAATTAAATAACATTAATTAAAATTTAATTAGAATCCTACTTAATCCTAATTGTAAATTTTTCAAGGCAATCTATCACTTGGTCCAAAACGCCTGTTTAATATAAGGACGTTCGTTTCATTTTAATAAACCAAAGCTGTAGAAAATTTAATATTTTAATCAAAATTGTTAGAATTTTTAATATAAATCGATGGTGTAGACTAATTTTTTATATATTTGAACTGCCCAGAAAAAAAAAAATTAACTTGAATGAAGAAAAAAAATCTTGAAACAAGAAAACAATTTTGAAAAGTTTAATTGTCTTCGATCAAAACGAAAAATTCTTTAATTAAGTAAAAAATTTACTTAAACCAAGAAAAATTTCTTAAATTAAAAATTTTTTTACTCAAATAAAAAAAATGAAGTTCTTTAAAGTTATTTACTTAATTTTATTTTTGTACGTGTAAATTATATTTGTGTTTATTCCCTTGTTATAAGAATGTATCTTCCCGAGAAGACGTGATAAATTATTATTATTATTATTATTATTATTACTATTATTTAATGCAAATATTTACAACCATGTAAAATTTAATAAATTTTAATTGGTATTTTACAGTAATACTGGTAAGCGTTTGATGGCTAAATGCCGTCTGTTGTATCAAGAAAACGAGGATCTAGGACGTATGATTTCAAGCGGACGAATTGCAAAGCTAGAAGGTGAATTAGCGCTACAAAAAAGCTTCAGTGAAGAAGTCAAAAAATCACAATCAGGTAAATTTATATTATTAAGAGAATAAGAAAAATGTTGTCTCCAGAATAGTCATATGATAAAATCGGTTTTTTTAGAAAAATTTAGTGTCATTGCAAAGGTCTCATTTGAATTTGTGCCTTTTCAAGGTTTCATATCATTCTCATCGATAGTCAAATTATTATGATAAGTATTTACGCTGCATTCGAAAATGTTCTATTTCTAGATAGATAATGAAGAAATTACCTTGTTTCTTATGAGCTATTGACATTTTTAAAGATATAAGCTCACCCCGATGTTACACCCATCGAGACCTTTCATTTGAGTACCCACATCAATTTTTCATATATTTATATATATTATATATATATGTATCTATGAAAAATATATAAAAATGCATGTGGGTACTTAAATGAAAGCTCTTGATGAGTGTAACATCGGGATGAGCTTATATCTTTAAAAATGTCAATAGTTAAAAAAGTACAGTTCAATTTAACAAACATCTTGTGAACTATTGATATTTTTAAAGATATAAGCTCACCCTGACATTACGTTTTTCAAGACCTTTTATTTGAGTACCCACATCAATTTTTCATATATTTTATATATTATATATTTATATATGTATATATTAAAAATATATAAAAATGCATACTCAAATGAAAGCTCTTGATGAGTGTAATATAACATCAGGATGAGCTTATATCTCTAAAAATGTCAATAGTTAAGAAAGTACAGTTCAATTTAACAAAAGTCATTATTTAATAAAGTAAAAATTTTATTTATTTATAGTTCACATATCAGAGTATATTTTTTAAATAAATCTCTAATTATTTACTTAATATATAAATATAAAACAATTATTTTTAGAACTGGACGAGTTTCTCCAAGACCTCGATGAAGACGTCGAAGGTATGCAGTCAACCATATACTTCCTGCAGCAAGAGCTGCGTAAAGCTCGTGAGTCAGTGACACTGCTTCAGCAGGAGAACTTGGCGCTGAAGTCGCTGCCGAACGAGAACAATTTGTCAAACGGATTGTCCCCTCACACGCCGCCGATAATTAAAAAAGAGGAAGAGCAGGACGAGCTGGAGAACGAAGTAATAATGAGCAAATCACTGGCGATTGAGCCGGAGGAGTACAAAGTGGATGAAGATGGCGCTTGCACCCCACCGCTGAAGAACCAAGTGGCGATACCAGCGAATCAGGAGAACGACGAGAGTTCCAGTGATTCCGCGGCTCTGATAATAAAAGTCGAGAACGAGGAACTGACTGACCGTGAGAACGAGGAGGATGAGAATAAAAGTGGGAGGACGCTGAGAAGGACTAAGGGTGCTAAATGTTGTAGTAGCGGTAGTAGTAGTGCTGGTGATAAAACAAATGGTGATGACTCGACCTCCTCTAGGACTACTAACGCCCTCAGGCTAAGAGACAGAGGTGATTGCCGGACCGTTGACAGTAGGGGGGACCGGGAGAGGACTAAACGCGATAAAAGTGCACATAGTAGTGATGAAGAGCAGCATCACCAGATTAGAGACTGCGGTAGGTTAAAAAAAAAAAGACGTGAAAGTATTTTGTCTATTGATTACAATGACGCTGACGATGATGCGATTGTTTTAACAAACGGGGAAACGTTACAGAGCGATCCCGAATAGTCCTGTTTATTTAAATTATATTCATGGAATTCTTAGGTGGCGCCCTCTACTTTTTAAACTGATACGGTTATTGTAGAGTCAATTTTTGTGGTAATTTTATTTTTTTATTTTTGTTCTGATCAGCAAACAGAGAACTTGGTTATAATTTTGCCATTAAGTAGATTCCAAATATTTTTGATTATTCTTGTTATAAATTAGCGGGTGAATATTAAGAGAGAAATAATTTTTCTGGTGAGAGTTATAATTCAATATGGCGGACTTACTCACTCTGAGCAGGCATCCAGCGCCACTAGTGTTCAATTCATCAACTTTAACTGAAGACTAGTTAAATGAAATTTTATTTCATGAGGTTACTGACAAATTATCCATTTTTTTCGGATATAGTACTTTTAATTATGAAAAAAGTTTTGCAGAAAATTATAAATATTACCACTAGTGGTGCTTCATTCTCTGCTTGGAGTGAATAGGTGAAAATCTTATGAAATAGCTAATTTATAATGATTTTTAATTTATTTACGTTCGTTTTCTTTTTAATTGGTTATTTGAATATTGTAATATAGTAGTATTTCGATATTTAAGGAGGTCCTTTCGCCATCAATGTTAAATAAAAAATATTAGATCATGCATAAAATTAATTTTTATCTAACAGTTAAAGTCTTTATGTATCTACTAGTGAAGTTTAATTTATACTTCACCGAGGAAATTTTTGAAAAAAAAATTTCTAAAAATGTTAGTATTTTTTCCGAGTCTTACGAGAAAGTCAGACCTTAACAACATTCTCGAATTATGGCATTAACCACCGATTAGATGGGGTAAAAAAAAAACTCAAAATAAGATTTTCGAAATATTGAGGTTTGATTTTTTGCAATAAAATATATAGGTTGCCGTGGAATTTATGGATAAATTATAATTATAAAATCACAGAAAATTTTTAAGTAACCTACATTTAAATGGCGTCAGAACATTTGGCAACGTTGTGTAGTGCGCGATCTTCAGACCATTCAATAAATTCAAACTAAACTTTAACGCGCTTATGTTTTTCATACATACTTATTAGTTAATTTATTGTTAACAAATTTTCATAATTCATAATTGAAAAATAAAACAATAACTTAAAAATACTAGCATTCCTGCCATGAGATATTAGAATGTTACGGTTTTGTGACTAAATATTTTTAATTAATTTATTTATTTACATTGACTGCAAAAAGTTAAACATGGTTAAGGTTATATTGTGCAAATAAAAATGTAAACAACCGAAATAAAGCGTTGCCAAATCACGGACAGTTTACTAACAGCTGATTTACAAGAGTCAAATTAATTTTTCTATTTAACTATTTTTTTTTATTAATTTTCAAAATTTCAACGATTAATGCCTCATATACTATTTATTTTTTAATTTTAGGAATTTTTATGGGTTTTTTTTATTTTAATTTATCGAATATTGACTACTACAATTGTTGTGACTCAACTGGAGCAAAAAGACTTCCTTAAAAGTGAGGATGTTGTCCAAGAATGACTTTTAGAAGCTGAAATTCAAAATGGTAGTTTTTTAAAACATGATTGATTATTTTTTTTGTTATGACTCTGGAGCAAAATTTTAATTTTATTGATTATTGAAGAAAAATTTATGAATGTTTTGTAATTATACAAATTTTTTTTTTATTTTAAATGGTAATAGTAATAAGTCTAATTACTATAATCAGAAAAAATATATATTTATTTATTTTTACTGAAGTGAGTTTCGCGGGCATGAATTTTGCAGATAATAATTTGTAAAAATTTGTTGAATAATAAGTAATTTAATTTGTCTAAAAAAAATTAACTTTTGAAAAATAGCATTTTGAATTTCAGATTCTTAATTATACACTTCCAAATTATAAAAGAAGACCGCAAGCTTTTAAATTTTGTCAATATTAGGATAAATAAAAACAGATAAAAATTTTTTCGACTGATGATTTAATGGTGATATTTAAATATTGGACGACTGGTTTTGAAAGGTTTAGTCTTCGTCAGTTTCTGGATTCTAAAAAACTAAATTTCAATTATCAGAATTTAAAAATATGTAAAGTATCAAACAAACAATAGTCGAAATCATCTCGCACGACAAATCTTCAAACAGCCAGCACATTTTTATCCTAACTAAAATGAAGTTTTCTTCATTTCACAGACTGCGGTCTCCTTAAAAATAATTTTTTTTTATTATGGCAATAATTTTTTTCGTTATTTCAATTTTATCACAAATTTTATTCTCTCAATAAATTATAGACATGTTGCTCTAATAAAATTATCGTCATCACCATTTTTTATTTTTTTTTGATTATTAATACTTTTGACTGGAGGTCTTGAAATGTAAATTTATAAATAAATATGAGATTAAATGATAATATTACATAAATTTTCAATTATATGTATAATAAAATTTATTGAAAAAAAAAAAAAAATAATACTGTATGATAATAATTATTAATTATTAAAGTTAATTAAATATATAATTAATTAAAATTAATGTATAAAATTCGAGGGCAATCAGAAAAAAAAACTACTTATTAAAAAATTAATTAGTTAATTAAAATGAATCATTGCAATTTTAATTATTGCGATTTACTAGTTTGATGTATAGTAAAAAATTATCTTGACGTGAAGATTGAAGTAATTAATTAAGTTTATAAATTTATCGTCCATTTGTAATTTTGAATGAATGAAACTTTTGAAAGAAAAAGAAAATATTTTTTTTCTTTCAAAAATAAATTTTTTTTTTTTAGTTTTTTGTGTATTTTGATTTTAAAGATCAAAGAATGTACAAAATATGTAAATGCATCAATTTTATATAAAAAAACGTAATTGAAAAATTATAACTCGTTTTTCTTTTTTTGCATGTTATATAATTTCAAAAATTCAATTTTAATTTTATAAATGATCAATATAACCCAACCTTTTTTTTTTTTT